TGGTGCAAATGAGGAAGTGGATGGGGTAAGAACTCGATGAAAATCATGATTCAATTAAAAATATTAAAATTAGACTTGATGTACATATAACTACTGCAAAACTTTATAGGCTATATTGGAAGTACCTAATGTAGTTGTACGTTCAGCTGGACGACGGACCAGAGCCAGTGGAACTGGTGGTGGGGACGGTGGTGGCGCGACAGATGACTGTCCACGTCGACCTACTGCTGACGAACTAGATGAAGAGGGCCTAAAATATGGAGCTCAGCATGTTATTAAATTGTTCGTGCCCGTATCCCTATGTATGCTTGTTGTTGTGGCTACTATAAATGCAGTGAGCTTCTACTCTTCAACAGATGTTTATCTGTAATATGAAAAAGTGTTTATATTACGTATATGCTTAATATGTATTTTTTGCAGCTTGTATACACCTTTCCATGAATTATCGCCTGATCCTGGCGTTAAATTCTGGAACGCTTTGGCCAACTCTATGATTCTCATGGGTGTAGTTGTAGCAATGACTATTTTGTTGATTGTTCTGTACAAAAAACGCTGCTACAAAATCATACATGGTTGGCTTATCCTCTCTTCATTCATGCTGCTATTTATTTTCAGTTATCTCTATCTTGAGTAAGTTCTTCAAATATCGCACTATTTGAACTTATGCTATGATTTATCTTTTTGTAGGGAGTTGCTACGCGCTTATAATATTCCAATGGATTACCCCACAACGATAATGATACTTTGGAATTTCGGTGTCGTCGGAATGATGGCCATACATTGGCAAGGTCCTTTGCGTTTACAACAGGGATATCTAATTTTTGTTGCTGCATTAATGGCACTGGTTTTTATTAAATATCTGCCGGAATGGACGGCGTGGGCTGTGTTGGCAGCGATATCAGTATGGGGTATGTAAAAAGCAGGCACTCAATGAATATAATAAAAAAAAATTGTAACCTTTAGATTTGATTGCTGTCCTCGCACCGAAGGGACCTCTGCGCATTTTAGTGGAGACAGCTCAAGAACGCAATGAACAAATATTTCCTGCTTTAATTTATTCTTGTAAGTTTACTGCTCTATATGTTCATTCAAGAAAATATTTAGCAGGAAAGATCTTTTTTTCACTGATACTTTTTTTCGCATTAACTTTGTTAGCCACTGTTATGTACACAGTGATG